TCAGCGGACAAATCATATCCAATTACCCGAAGCTCATCTGGACGGCATGGGCAACACCGCGCTGCAAGTTCTTTTTATGGTTGCTTTTGCAGAACAGATTATGGACTGCAGCCAGGCTACAGCTGAGAGGGTGGAAGAACAACTATTTTTGCGCGCTTTGTGAGAGGAACTTGGAGACTGCTGTCCACCTGTTCATAGAATGCCCTTTGCGCGCAAGGTATGGGAATTGGTTGCAAACTGGAGCAGAAATCCTAATCTGCTACCAAATGCTTGGACCGAACAGAGTGAGTTGGAAGGTTGGTTCATGGCTATGATTGAAGGGGGCACTAAAGCAGCACATTCCATAGCTATCCTAAGTTCCTGACCTTGTGGCACCTCTGGAAACAGAGTAATGCGGTAGTCTTCAATGGGGAAAGGAGTCCTGAGCACTGAGCAGGCGGTGGCCACGAGGATAAAAGACGAGTGTCTGAACTGGGCAATGGCTGGAGGCCGGAGTCTTAGCTATTTAAGGATCGAACATTATTACGTGAGTAATTAGCTGAAGGTTTCCAATAATCTCATACGGCAGTCTGCGGTATGAGACCGCGCTCCTCGCGCTTGTAATTAAGGATATAACTCTATTCTCTTGCTTATTAATACAAAGCCGGGCAACCGGATCTTTCGAAAAAAAAATCAAAATTATGCGATTTTCACAATTTTGCTCGTGGCAGTTTTTTTCCGCGTGAGATCAGAACAGAAGTCGCATCTACGTCGCCGCAGCTTCCTGTAGGCTTCTGCCGATCTCCTACCCCAACCGGCGGCAGCCAGCCATGGCTCTCTCTCTCTCTCTGAAACTTTCCAGCAACAACGCCCGTGGCTCTCTCTCTCCCTTGTGAAACGAGCTAGCTGTATACCAGCAGGAGTAGCAAGAACGCTGAGCGTACCAAGAAAGCTAGCAAGCATGAGCCTCGACGCCTCCCGCGATCGCGGTCGCCGCGGCAGTGGCCATCGTCGTCGCAGGTGGCGCCGCAGCGGTGCAAGTCGTCCAGCCGGCGTTGCACAGTATCCTCCTCCTACGTCACGCGGATGATGGCCCGCGTCTTGCAGTCGGTGCCACCACCTACGACTATGATCGGCTGTGCTGTCTCCTTCCGGTGGCCGGCGGTGGCGAGCCGGTGGTGGCCCGCTCATTGGCCTCCGCTACCACGCGACCCGCACGATGTCCGCCACGAAGCCTGCCCCGTGCGCCATCGTGAAAGGCATCCGTGCCGCGGCCGGAGCGCCGTCGCCGTCCTCCTGCTGGAGCTACTCAGCCCAGTGCTGGGACGCCGTGAAGTAGAACGACGAGCTGCACAGGATAAAGAGTTGCGGGAGGGCGTCGCTGCCGTCATAGAAGAAGGCGCGGGAACTTTTCGCGAGCCGCGCGGCTCAGTTGCGCTTATTTTAAGGCCCGTTTGGTTTGGCTGTGCGCCTAAAATTTCTGTTACGTTGAATATTTAGACACGTATGTGCCTAAAATTTCTGTCACGTTGAATATTTAGACACGTATACGAAGTATTAAATATAGGCTAATTATGAAATTAATTACACAACTTACGATTTATTTACGAGACAAATCTTTTAAGTCTAATTAATCTATTATTTGACAACGTGGTGCTACAGTAAACATGTGCTAATAATAGATTAGTTAGGATTAAAAAAATCGTCTCGCAAATTAGCCTCAACTATGTAATTGGTTTTGTAATTAATCTATATTTAATGGTTTTTATTAGTATCTGAACATTTAATGTGATATGAATTTTAGGAGCGACTAAAAAACCAAACACCCCCTAAACGTGTTGGTGTCGTTTTAATGGGAGGTGGAGCTAGGAGTTGTTAATAGATGATTTTTTTTTAAATTTTCTAAAAATCTTAGATTGGAAGACTATTTTAGATATTCTTAAGATGCTCTGAGACTAATTTAATCCCCCGATCACGTGTAGCACGGCAACAATCTCAGGCCAACAAAAGATAACTTTATTCCGCCTGACCTAATTAAACAAATATCAGCCAACAAAAGGTACCTTTATTCCGGCTGACCAAATAAACAAGACCAAATACTCTCAGCTTATTCACTCAATTATAAAATCAATAGCAATAACAGATGGATCAGGCTTACACAATAAATGCAATCCAGCCCTAACAGTAGCAACTCAATCACACGCTTTATACAAGGATCGGCTTATCAACCAAAATTAGCCCTACTTTTTTCAGCCATGGAATAGTTTTTTTCTCTCATAACAAATCAGCTATACAAATCAGTCGTAGCAGCAATAAGTCCTGCCGAACAGGGTCTGATCAGTTCTTAGTAATAGATGGGATCATCATTGAGGTTTCTAGAGCGACGGCTTGACAATGGAATAAAATCCAAATAAATTTAGTCTACTAGATAGTCACCCGAGTTAATTTATCCCAATCCAAATCGGTCTCTAGCCGTCACATTTGTGGAAAGAAAAACTACCTTGTCTGAACCAAAGCGAGATTAGGTGGTTTCCTAATTCCTACGTCGACCATCTTTCCTTCTTAGCTCTATTTTATTTTTGTTTTTTTTTCTAACGACCGTCTGTTGTCTTTTTTTAACGTGCGTCCGTTGACCACCTTCTCCTTCCAAGGTTCGACCGAGTATTAGATAATCGTCTCTTGTTTGCAAAAGACATAATAATAATAAAAAAGAATACCAACTGTATCAGACTGTATAAACGATGTTGCTAGTCTCATGGGGCGATCTCCATAGGAGTTTAGGTACGACACGTTAAAGTTGAAGTCCAAACAGAAAACAGAAAGGACGAGCAGAAAAGGATGAATTCAACCAAGGCATAACTCTAAATTGAATCGATCATGAAAGAGCACTAAAAATTTTCGCCGGATTTACACGTGCCTCTGCTTGCAAGCCCCATAAATCATGAAATTATGTCTTATCTTACTCTAATATTAAGCCACAATAAGTTTCTTAGTTTTGCTTCTTTTCTAATTTTTCCTTTTTTTTCCTTTCCTGTCTGCTTTTTTTTATTTTCTATTGTTTCCCATACCGGTGTTTTTCGGTTCTGTTTCTATTTTTGTGTTTTGTTTTTTCTGTCCGTTTGTTTTCCTTTTTTTTCTTTTTTCCGCTTCCATCTATGTTTTGTTTCTGTGCTTTGACTTTTTATATTTTTATTCTTCAAAAATAATATGTTTGTGCGTTGTAACATGAGAAAAAAGATATGAAATAATATTAATGACTAAGGGCTCTGTCAAGGTTGATCACTAATCTTCTCTGCTAAGGCACACTGATGGTACAATCAGATCTTCTTTCTGTGCACTACTCTTCTCTTGATCACTAAGGGCTCTGTCAAGGTTGCCAGCTCGCTCAACTACGGTCGTCGGGCAACGTCCACGTCGCTGCACGAGTCGGGGGCCTCATCAACACCACTGAAGCCACGCTTGTACGGGCGTTGTGCCCCCTTGCATTGTTGGTCAGGTCCGCATGGTGGCTGCCGCGCGCGCTGGCCTAAACTGCCTGAACTTTGGTTGGTGACACTGCGCGCGTCCTACTGTGGCAGCAGTGCTGCAGGTTCAAGCCACCTTGCCGTAGCCGTTGTGCCCGTGCCGTGCAGCCATGATCATATGCCAGATTGTAGCCCCGTTGCAACGTACGAATATATTTGCTAGTAAATATAGATATATGAAACTAAGCTTCTTGCACAAGTACTCATACTTTTGGGCTAGTTTTATGGTCAAATAGACGTTCTTTCATTTTGAAACTTTAATAATAAAACATGGATCCCAAATTAGATTTGGGAAGACAATTGGTCGGAAGACCAAACACTTCGAGAACAACGAAACTTCCATTATAAAATATGGATCCCAAATTATTTTCTGGGAAGAAAATTGGTTGGAAAACTGAACAGAGAACAATATTCATGCTTATACAACATGGCAAGAAATAAACAGGCTACCTTAGCAGAAGTTCTTAGTCCATCCCCAAATTTATCTTCGCACAGGGATCTGATAGGCGCAAAGTTAGTAGCGTGGAACACATTGCTTCCACTTATTTCTAACATTGTCATCAGCATGATAAACTTCGCTGGAACTTAACAAAAAATGGACAGTTCTCGGTTAAACCACATTATCTTGCTATGATCCATTATGATGTCCCAAACATTAATAAGTAACTATGGAAATTGAGAGCACCTTTAAAAATAAAAATTGGAGCGTGTGCTCAAGCATTTTTTTACCCGGACACATAGGTGGCAGTCTAGTTTAAAGATTGATAGTCACTAGAGTGTGTATTTATTGAGAAAATAACTTTTTATAGGCTGTGTGTTTTAATGTAGAGGTCGGAGGTGATCTCAAGATGGTTATATCAACTCGATGTAACTATCTTGAGTTAATAAAATGCTTCCTCAATAAGAAAACCCACCTTGTAACAATCAATCCTTTGGTCTTGATGAACCTCCTTATCTTTTAATTCCAGTGAAGAAAGTAGCAGCTAAGAGCTAACACCATCTTGTTCTGTGATGGCGATGAATTACTTGTTTTGGACGATTGCTTGAGCCCCCAGTCATGCATGGATCCGTGAACGACGGCACAAGCGATCGCTCTCCTCCGCACATCACGGCTCATACGTTCATCGTCCGTCGCCTCCTTCTGAAGGTTACTCCATCCGCCGAGCCGAGCTGGGCGTTCTTCACATGCACCCAACCCAAGTCAGGCAGTCACCAGCTGATCGATGAGGCTCGGTCACCGTCACACGTCCGCGCCACCACCCAGATAACGGTGAAACGTAAATGAGTGAGCATCGAAGCGAATTGAACGCTCACTGCATCACTACAAACGGCAAGGCTCACGGGCAGCCTGTACGCGCATCAATGATATTCTTGGCGTCGCTCGCCATAAGAAGCCAACCGCGCCACACTGCCTGCCCCCCCTACCCTACCGCCTGCTACGACACTGCTGTCCCTGCACCCTGAATCTCTGATCCAGTGCTAGTAAGCATTCGCACCATGGGTCTCTGCCTGTCCGTGGCGCTCTGGAAGGAGAAGCTCTACGGCGCCGACGGCGGCAGCCGGTCAGTGCGGGGGCGCGTCGTCCATAAGGTCGTTGCCGGCGTGGAGAGTGGTGACTGCGAGTACTACGGGATCTTGGGAGGCGACACAGACGACGTGCTGGGGGTAGAGCAGAAGGCGGCGGCGGCGGTTCCGGTGGCGGGCATGGGCGTCAAAAGTGGTGGAGTGGAGGGAGCTGCCGCTGCCGTGTCCGGCGGCACTCCGGTGCTGCCGATATGGCAGAGGAGGGTGCTGATGGGCGTCAAGTGCCAGCTGCCGCGGTTCAGCGGGATGGTACTGTACGACGAGAGCGGCCGGCCGGTGTGCAGTGGCATCCGGGACAGAGCTCGTGACCAGGTGCTTTCGACCCCTCTTTGCTTACCTAGTTCACGTCATCAAAATGCACTAACAGTCTGACACGACTTAGAACTGTACAGTATATATTCAACAAAACTGTTCGGTTGAACTTATCAGTTATGGTACAGTGTTTTTCTCTGACAACGAAACAGCATCAGTCGGCTTATCAGACGCAAAAACAATCGTAGCTTACAGCTTATATGCTACTCTGATGTGTGTTATTTGAAAAGTTTACCTGTCTTCGTCGGTGAAACTGGATTTAAACGTTTTTTTAAGACAATTTAGCTTGGCTTCAAAGCTGTTCAACCTACAAGCCAACATTGAAGCCAAGTGTTGTTCAACCTACGCATGTGAGTTAATGCCAAATATGTCAAGACGTAGTCCCTCACAAAAACTAACAACCTGTGTAATCTCTCCTTGTGTGGGGCGTCAAAGTAGGGGCATCTCGCTCGCCTTTGGTCACTCCGTGTAAAACTTGCTATCATATTAATGAAATAAGTGCAATGTGCATGTTCACAAAAAAAAACTGTGAGTTAATGAAATTAATAAAAAAAAAACTTGTGTGTAGGAGAAGCATGCTGCTGCGATCTCAGTGCTAAGGGACCTGCTGTAGTCTTCATCATCAGCAAGCGGTGGCAATTCTATCGACGGGATATGCATGTTTGGTTACTCTACATGTACGTCTTTGTTACTGGGTGTAATAAAATCCTTTGTATTTCGTGCTATGGGCGCCAGCTTTTTGTATAGACTACTATATCTATATGCATGTTGTGGCAAGTGCGAGATATAGAACTTCATACTCGTTCTAGTTTCGTGTTGAATGCTTCTCCACGTCCCTTTGTTGCTAATTAGCCAAAATCAATTCTAGCTCTTGGTGTTTTGTTGCACCCCAGCAGAATCTGTCCAAAATTCTAGTCACGCCATTATTAGTGATGTGAAGGACCAAAACAACAATCGAAGAGGCGTGAATAGGAGTCAATCAAAGTTCTTTTTCAAGAACTTGGCCTATATCCTAAAATTCCATAAAAACTGGTCTCTTCTAGCAAACTCAAGTCTGCATAGCCACAAAAAGACTATTAGATTTAGAGACAATGCTAGGAAGGCGAAATGGTCAAACACAAGAAAAAAAACTCGAAGAAGCTTAGAAGCACCTTACAACCTTACTAGCTGCAAAAGTTTAGCAGTTGTGTGCAAAGCTGCAACGTGCGAAAGTTCCGTGCAGGCTGTTTTCAGCAAGCCAAAACCAAGGAAGAAAATTACCAAACTCGATCAAACGAAGTCAAAATGACACGAAATTTTACCACACCTTCCCTAGGATATGGTGAAGGTATCCCCAAAATATCTTTCCCAAAACCTCAAAGCAGCTTGGCCATGAATCTTGATTTTTCTTTCTCATATTGAGGGTTTCATAATTTTCTTGAAACAAAGGATTTGAGGGCTCTCATGGCAATCCATTGGAGACAAAGCCTAAGCATGTACTCAAGACATAATGGAATTTCAGCTCAAAGAGAGCTGTGCTTCAAGCCACAATTTCATCAAGTTCCAAGGGTCCCAAAAAACTCCAAAATTGAGCTTACAACCCAGCCAAACCAGCAGATCGAAAATCACCCAACATGGCTCCAAAAATCACTAAAAATGTACGATTACAAGCCACTCCTAATAGATCTCCAAGCTTGGATGGAACCGAGCTCAAATCAAAGAGTCTCAACTCTCTCCCTTTCTCTAGATCTAAGCAAAGCTCTCAACCTCCCAAATGAGAATAATCCTTCTAATCTCCCCAAAGGCTTGGCTTCGAAACCAGCCATCTCCCATATATAGGCATTCAGCTATTTCCCAAGTTACCCTTGCACGAAGCACTCAACCCAAATACCCCAAGGGAAAAAACCGTTCAAGTTTTTCATTGTCGATCCAACGGACCCGACGTGTTCTCGATATTGCTTCGCCTTGACGCAAGCTTCGAGATGGCACACCATGTCAGCAGATCCGCCAGTCCCTAGTTTTAAGGCCCTAACCTTTCAAATCCGTCGTCAATGGTTTTGAGGCTCAAAGCACCAAACCATTCATGCCTAGTTTTTAGGTCCAAACAAGCAAACCCTCCATCGTTGGTTTTTAGGCCCAAACTACTAAACTATCCATAAACAATTTTGAGGATCAAGCCGGCAAACCCTCATGCATGCCTTACTAGGCATGACTAACCGATGTCGACGCGTGTCCAACCTCCACGAAGCTCTAACGCCTTCACCATGGTTCTTGACTTGACCGACGCCATCTTCGTCATCCTCAATGTAAACGCATGTCTGGCCTCTGCCAAGTTCCACGATGCCATCGTCCTCCTCCTTGACTTGGTTGACGCCATCTACATCATCCATGTACTCTTGATCTTCCTATCCCAATAACAGTCGCACATGGTCCATCCTCATCCTCTTGGTCCTTTAGTCTAAGCACTCCGTCCGCTCTTCACCACTCTTAGTCCATCGCACATGGACTACTCACTTGACCTTCTCCATCACCTACCAACCACCTTGGCGCACCCAACACCTACACATTCACAAGCCAAGACACATGTTGCATGACACATCAACTCAACACAACACGACATGACACCTCTGGTTAGCCATTAACATAATCAAGCACATATGAATATGAACTCAACCAGAAAAGCATCAAACGTTTTAACTCTTGAGTAAATTATTCATCACAAATGGATTAGACCAAGGCAGTTCTCAACTTAGTCTCTCAATCTCCCCTTGATAAATGCATTGACCAACACTAAAGCCCAACAAAGAAGGTTTGAAAGCAAAATATAAAACTCTTATTCAAGTGCCCAAAAGCTAGGTACAAGCAAACACAAGGCCACTTGATATGAGGAAGGATCATGAAAACTTCAATAAAAACTCTTGGTTCCCAAAGAAAGGGTAAAGACTCAACACAACTGAAGAGTCAAGTAAGATAGACAAGAGCTTCATGCAATCCAAAAGGCACTCAAATCCATTTCATCACTTGTCAATTGATCATCAGAAACAAACCAAGGTTCTTATCAACTTGCTTTCACATTCTCCTCCTTAATGATTGGATTGACAACATTCAAGCACAAAGAAGTGGTTTGAGACACAATACCAAAAAATCTGATCCAAGTGGTCGAAAAGCCATGTTAAAAGCCAAGATGAAAGTCACTTGGGATGGGAAGAACCATACAAGACAAGAATCAATACCAATAAGCTAGAATCTCACCCAAGTAATCATGAGCCATGAAAAGGCAAAGATCAAAGTCACTTCGCATGAAAAGATACTCAAGGGTGGATGAAAGACAAACTTGCTCATCATTCTCCTCAAGAAGTCCCGTTCAACTAGATCATAAGTTTCACTCATGTCGAGTTTAACTGTAGCACAACTCTCCACCCCTCCTTTTCTTGGTTTGCAGAAAATGCTTGAGTTCATAAGCCAATAGGGTTGTGTTTGTGGTGAGCCAACCAGGCACGAAGACACTTTGATTCAACAAAATAATACAAGGTAGGATGGATTTTAGGCGGTTAGAAATAACCTTGGAGACAATCTTATACATCACATACAAAGACTGATCGGCCTCAAACCCAATGTTAATTTTAGAGTTATGCATCAGAAGTCCATCAACTTATGCAAGGATTTCGGTTTGGTCCATCAACTCTAAAAGTTGATTTTTGGGTTCATAAAATTTCTATGTTATTCACCACAGGTCCATACCCTTTGTTTGGCCCTTAGATCTGACCTGGCATATGGAGTCAGTAGACAACAATGGCATGAAATTGGCCGAGCCCATGCTTATCCCCTCTCCTGCATGCGCTACCTTCATTTCCACTCCCTCAAGCCTAGTATATGTGCCTCTACTCTTTCACTACTCCAGTGCTTGCCACCAACATTATCGGTCACCGAGCTCCCACTACCATCGTTGTTCCCCGCCTTGTGCTTCACCTCTGTCCTGTAAATGAGCTCTAATGAGTATGTCTCTACCTCCTCTACCCTTTGCTCATTGGACACACAGAAATCGTGTCAGAGCTCCCAGCCTGTCATACTACAGTTTGCCATGGTCGAACTCTGAGCTTGCATGTGGCACCATTCCCGTCGGTGTAGGTCATCACTACTTCAATGAGTGCGTGGTTGAGTCTGCCGCGGTCCCCTCGTACCCGCACGAACTCATTGGGGGCAAATCTATGTCGTACCCACCATTTCTGTTGCCATCTTCTACCTTGTCTCTACCGTCAACCGTCGGATAGGCATGCTCGTGGCCGACCCATTGCTAGACTCCAATGGATAAATTAAAACTACCTTTGGGTGCATGGGTGAGTGGTGATGCTTGTGGTCCCTCCATTTTGTTAAACTTGAGATTTATTGACTCTTCAAAAAGCGAGAATAACATTCTTTTTGGATGGAGAGAGTATAAAAAAAAGTTAGATATTAGGAAGCTATAAGACTAGCTCGGTACTCTTCATCCTACAGAACAAAACGTGGTACCAATTTAAGGCACCAAAACCCAAACAGTGTGTCTCAAAAATGCTCAAGTGAGAAGTATTTGAATGTCCACATATTGCCACGTTTCTTTGCCAATCTTTCGCTAAGGTATGGATAAATAAATGAGTCATGGTTATGGCGGATTGAATCAGCCTAAAAGACTATAGCACGTCTAAACCGTGGCATGGCAGTGTTTGCTCATGAACCGAACACGTTTTTTCTCAAGTTCAAAGTTCAACAGAGTGCTAAGTTGATTTTTATTGGAAGTTCAAATAAGTAGGATTTTTCTTGAACTGGATGTTCTGTTTTCCAACGAGTTCAAAGTTGGATTTCCCGAGGTCAAGTTGATTTCCTATTGATCGAAGTTCAGATTCTTTTCGAATCTCAAGTGTGATGTGTTTATCCCGTCCTGCCATGGCGGCTATATAGCAGTTTCTAACAGCTCAAGGGAAGGAACGACAGAACGTCGTTGTCGCAGCGGTTGCAGACGAAGACGTGCGGGGCGTCGTCGGTGTCCTTGATCCCCGCGCACCGGGTGTGCTGCCACGCCTCGCAGATGTCGCAGCACGCCATGCGCTCCCCGTCGTCGTCATCCGCTCCGCAAGCGCAGTCCACGACCCTCTCGCTGTCGCCGTCTCCCTCGCTCACAACCGCCGCCGCCTCGTTCCCCGGCTGGACGCCTTCATCCGCCAGCTGCTGCTGATGCTGCTCGACGACTGTCCCTTCGATCACCACGGCGCTTCCCACGTCGATCAGCCCGAGCACCGGGCAAGCGTCCTGGCTGGCACCGATCCCGGCGACGGACTCGGCCGTGAAGGTCCTCAGGCCGAGGTACATCTCCCTGAACAGCCTCTGCACCTCCCACTTGAGCTCGCCCACCGTTGCATGCGCCGGCAGGGTCACAGTCTCGTACGGCGCCACCAGCTCCGGGCTCCCGTTCCTCACAAGCAGCGTGCAACACAGGTTCATGTGGACGTGCCCAACTCCAACACTGTTGATCGGAGCGAAACCTTCGTGGTAATCTTTGACGAAGTGTTTGGTGTCCAAGACCATCCGCGCCGCCACGGGGATCGCGCCGAAGGCGCCGGTGGTGAGCGCCTGGCTCGGCTCCTTGAGCACGTGGTGGTACAGGTGCGTCAGGTCCCTCATGAGCTGCGCCCGCGTGAGCTGGAACCGCACCCTCATCTTGCCGCCGCCGCCGTTGCTCGGCACGCCGCCCACCGCCGGGAGCACGCTGGACACGTCCTCCAGGCAGTACTCGAGCACCTTGGTCACCGGGTTCATGGCGCGGCGCACGACGTAGTTGCCGACGATGTGGTTGCCGAGGGACTTGAGCACGAAGTCGAGGAGGCCCGTGTCGCCGATGTAGGCGCGCGCGGCGTCGCGCACCTCCTGCCGCGTGACCCACCGCGCGGGCGGCTCGGTGAGGCGGAGCGCGTCCACCACGGCGCGGGCCGCCATGTCCACGCGCTTGGCCGACCACCGGCACGAGGCCTCCGACATGATGCCGCGGTAGTCCATGGCGGTGACGGAGGTCGCCGGGAGGCGCGTCCGCAGCTCGAGCATGAAGCGGAGGAGGTCGCCGAGGTTGAGCAGCTTGTGGCCGCTGATGGCCTGGTACTTGGTGACCACCACGGGGAGGTCCTGGCTGAAGCACGAGAGGTGCGGCACGAGCAAGCAGAGCGGCACCGACTGGAGAGCGTGCAGCGACTGCTGGTACGACGGCAGCGCGACGCCGTAGCTGGGCCGGCCGAACCGGTAGCCCCATCGCCCGAACCACGTGTCGCCGTACGCGACGCCGTGCAGCAGCCGCAGCTCCATGTGCCCCTTCCTCGCCGTGTCGACGAGGCTCACCTTCCTTGCAATGCATATATAACCAAACGAAACACTAGTCGTCATGAACTCAGATGCAGTGCACGGGGCATAACAAACGTTGCACACACCTGACGTTTAGGGAGGAGCATATGCGATCCCAGAGGTCCATGATCTGGTGGCCGGCGACGAATTCGGAACCGCCCTCGAAGCCGTGCAGGGCAACGAGGTGGCCGAAGCCGTTGAGGTGCACCACGCCGTGCAGCAGGTGGCCCCTGGAGGTCGCCGTGCCTTTGGACGGTTTCTCCGGGCCGTGGTTGATCCCGTAGTGCAGGCCGTCCGCTTCCACTGACAGTTCCCTCTTGGGCAGCACAAAGTGAAACCTCTTGCTGCAGATCAGATGCCGACCCCAACCTGAAACACCACGGGGTTTTTCCTGAAAGTGAGCATATATATCTGACCGAGCTACTCTCGATCGGTATAGTTTTCTGCAGATCAGACTATCAGAGTGCAGTACGTTGTTGATTGTATTATTGGCGATTTTTTGTTTGAATTAGTATTCCGTACTCGGCTGTCAGATGTATCATGCAGGCCCCCATGGTGTAACTCAGAACTTATAACTTGTGTACGTACGCCAGGCGTTGATTGCGTGCAAAAGTTCAGCATCTTCAGGATTGGGATCGACAAAAGACAGCAGCAACGCGGTGAGTACCGACGTGACGGCAGAGGTGGCACTGGCGCTGCGGCGACGCGTCTACCACTTCCTCGACGACGAAGAGCCTGACGACGGTGGGCGGGTGGCGGTGCAGCTCGAGCTGGAACGACCAGCACTTGGTCTCGCCATGCGCGCCGCCGGCCTCCAGGTGCGCGAGGCCGAGCAGCGCCCTGACGTTGTCCCTGAAGGCGCCCCCGCCGGCGAGCGGCGCCGGGTACCCGGGCTGGCAGAAGGACTCGAACCGGAACAGCATCTCACCGCGCTTCCGCCGCCGCGAGCTCCCCAGGCTGATCACCATCGTCGTCGTCTTATTAGCGGCCATGTCGCCGGGGCCGGACGCCAGCGGAGCTAGCTGGTGGTGCAGGCGCGCTCCTGCGCTTTATGGCGTACGGTGTGCGACTGCGAGGGAGGGTCGCCGTAGTGGTACCATCGGCGCCCCGGTCTCACGTGGTAAGTGCCCAGGATTTAGAAAGCTTGGGCGGTCTGGTGAAGGAGTGCGCGCGCGTGATCACGGTGAGCGCTGTAAACAATGTGTGGCTCGAGCTCGACATCCTTCTAGACATGCCGCTCGCAGCATGCATGGTTCCTCTGCTCTGTTCTGGAAAACTTTGCACGCAAAACCTTGTGTTTTCCAGATATGCTATCCATCAACGCTTCACGGTGGCGTTAGGCTAATTGTTGCGGCCAGCTCTTTCCATTGAACAAATATATCGAGTTCCATGCGCCAAACAGCGCATTTCGAATTTAAAGTTATCGAGAAAAGATGAAAAAAAAACAATTTGAGACATCTCCGAGACTTGGACAATAGCAAGCAGGCACCATGGTAAAATTCACTGCAGGTGATGATCATGAATCAGTAGCCCTTTTATATACAGGAACAGGTAGGGTGCTACATGTAAATTCTGCGCTGTTGTGTTGTGTACAAGCATGTCTGTAGATTGTGGCATCAGGGTATGTCAATGAGATCTGCTTTGCCTAACCGAACGTTAGGAGGAATAGTTTAGGATAGGGGGGGGGGGGCAATATTTTACAATATTCAACCGGAGCAGAGCGGAATGCATGGTCTACAACTTCGGGCCCCGTGGAAGTGTGAAGCGGAAGTAAATTCAGTCACAACTTCCGCGTTCACAGGGTAGGTCGCCCAAATGGCCATTGTGGAGCTCGTTGTTAAACACTACTATATATATTTCCATTGCCACAATTAGGTTAGTTTTGCTAAGCTTTACCTCCAATTTTTCAATCAGGGGAGTAGCCTGTTGTGCTCTGACTGTCCGTGCGACCCAACGTCTTGTAACCGCTCGTGTCCCCCTTGTATGCACTTCCATTAGCAGTACTACAAAGACTGAAGCCTAACCTTGTTGTCCCGTGGAGTATTTGCACCGCAATCCGCAGAAGCAGATGGTGATCTTCATGGTTAGAATGTACAGCATGGGGCGGTAATAAATTTTAGATCAGAATGCCAGTTAGGCTAGTTCAGTAACGATCGCACTCTGATCATTCTTCATCAGGTTCTATGTAACTTGTCCGAGTCAGACGAATCTATTCAGAAGAAGAAGAAATATAAATCAATGCAGTTAGAGACAAACAATGCGTCGCCTGAGAAGATGGATGAAAATAACATGAACTTCACCTGAGCAAATGCATAGATTGCCTGGACGATCCTAGCATAATCCGTGCCCAGCATTTGAATCACAATATCAGCCAAGAGTGTCCCCCACAATCTGAGCAAAGTTAAGTACAAAGAAAGGATATTTAATTACTAATAGGGCATGTTGGCATGACATGATATACCACTCCATGAAGGGATTCTGATTTATATGGTTTGTGGCCCAACCGCTCAATGTCGATACTAAAGGTTTATGAAGCAATTAAAATATCATCCAGCAATAAACAAAAAAATAACAGTGTAAACTGCTCAAAATAACACCGGTGTTTGAACGTGGTAGAATTATTCAGAGACTAATAATGATTTTCTTAAAACAAAACGGGAAGTAACAGTTTCAGACTACTAGAAGCATACATTGGTCCAAGAAATGTCATGACACTCCTGAGTCCAACATATCTCGATGCTGCCCGAGCCAAACCCTGCAAATATTCAAGGAGGACTATTGAAACGTGACACCTGAATGGTGCAATCTTAGATATATGTGTGAGGATTGGACATATGTACTTGCTAGTAACAGAAGATCATATTACCTGCCTAGCTGCAAGCAAACCAGCTCTAGACTCCAGGTTAACAGCAGCCAACCGCCCACCCTGTACATTAAAAAGATCAGTACTTTCCAACATTAATTCAATTAAGATGGCACTCTCTCCGTCTACAAAAGGATGCACTTCTCACTTTTCAAGGAGCCAAGCGATTTAAAATTTTATCAAAGTTATATAAAAAATACTAATATTTATGATACAAGATAAGTACAGTTAAATGAATTATGAAATATATTTCCGTACTAAACCTAGTTGGAGACATAAATGTTAATACTAAATCCGTTCCAAATTATAGTTCGTTTGACTTTTTTGACCTCAAGTTTGACCACTCGTCTTATTCAAAAATTTGTGCAAAAAAAAATATCACTTCTTTTGTTGCGGCTTGCTTTATTAACAAAAATTCTTCAAGAATGACTTAAATTTGACTATGTTGGCACAAATTTTTTGAATAAGACGAGTGGTCAAACTTGGGGTCAAAAAAGTCAAACGAACTATAATTTGGAACGGAGGGAGTACTATTCACAATAAACTTGATCAAAATTAAGCTAATTTGACTTTCACAAATCTCATAGTTGCATCCCTTTGCGGACGGAGGAAGCTAGCAAATATTAAATGCAATGTGCGAGTATAGTCTATTCACACAAGTTGCAATGCATTTGTCGATATGCAAATGGAAAGAAAATGCCTATATTAAGATAAGAAACGCTATAGGTAATTCGAGCAAAAACAACGTGGAACAGCTGAAAGGATATATTGGTCAGTCAACAATTTCCAAATGAGCACATAAAATCAGGAACAATATAGCAAAATATCAATACAAATAGGTATACCTGCTTAACAAGTTCTTTCTTTATCTCATAATTTGCAGCCTCCTTCAGCAGTTTTCCAGACAGTCTACTGGCTAACTAACATAATGGTATGGTAAGTGAAATTAATGAAAAACAATAATGCAGTGAGAACAAGTAGTCCCTCCATTCCAAATTGTAGGTCTTTTGGCTTTTCTAGATACATAATTTTTACTATGTATGCACAGCATATATCTAGGTGCACAACAAAAGCCAAAAGCTCAAATGACTTACAATTTAGAATGGAGGGAGTAGTATTCAATATTTCAAAATAAAGACTATAACATACCGATTCATATATTGTTTTCAAAGTCAATGCACTACCACCCTTCCATAAAGAAAAAAAATTTAAATTAGTGACAAAAATGAGAGGATTAGAAAGGAAAAGGATAGAAAAATGAGGATTGCAAAGAACCTTTAGAAAGGTATTTTCCATTCCCTTTGTTCCAATCCTCCAAGCCACATAAGTAAGCACCTTCCAGTTGTTTGCACCAAGGCTAGAGGTTTCTTTTGGAGATTTTTGTTTATCCCATGGAAATGAAAGTTGGTCTTTCATGCAGCTGATGTGTGGAAATTCAAAGGTACTTTGAGAATAGTGGACTCACAAGAGGATCTACATTTAATGAACGAATAGAGTTGTATGGGCTGAAAACTAGCATAGTATACTATGTTGTATATGAGGATACAAAACTAATGCTTATCCAAGGACCCTTTTTTAAGGTATGCTTATGGGTAAGTACCTTAAATATTCATCCACAAGGTGAAGAAATATTTCTGCCTCAAGGTCTGCAGTACACAATTTGCTAGAGCATCGAACGCCAATTTTTTTTCTTACTCTGAGCAAGACATCTCTGTATGATGGTCTCCACCTCCTATGAAGAACAATCGGAGAAAAGTGCAAAATGTTCTTGTAAAAGCTTCAAGAAAATGATGAACTACAGCGAGCTGACTATGAATGTAATCAATTTAGCAATGGTCATTTAAGGAAAATTGGTTTTGGGAAATCAAAAGATCATGGTTTTAGAAATATACCACTTAAGTGACCTGGTACACTAATGTCTCTGAAAGATTGCGCCATTCAGAAATGTACCACCCCGTCAGTCTTCCTAGAGTTCTGTCCATCCCTCGTTGTCTCCATTTAGCCTCCGTCTTCTTCACCATTGACAGATGCCTGAGCACCTCTTCCTCCTCCACCCTTCATTGTTTTCAGACCGCTGCTATTGTGACACGTCTAAGGAGCAATTCCCACCATAATGTCTGATCACACACATTCCTCTCTGTCAGCCTGTGTCGCTCTCCAGATCACTTGCCCCTACCATCAGATGGACTTCTTCACAACAGTGTAGACTAGAATCCAGTTTCAGAGCTCAACTAAATCTCTCTTCCAAATTGAATCCATACACATAGGGACAAGCAAGGCATTGAATCGCTCCCGACCTGATGTAGCAGCTCGATATCAATCAACAATTAGACCTAAATCCAATCGGTTTAGAATTAAATCACTTCAAACTTGCTCGAGCTGTGCCATGGTTGGTTCCAGTAGAGATTGGTGAAGCAACCTCGCCATGGCACCTTCACCTCCTCACGCTGCTGCAACCCCACCCACTCTCCTCCTCTACCAGTGCCTCCCATGGCAGCAGGTGGCTTTGCTGGATCTCCTGGTGGCAGAGAATGTGTCACTCAGCATCTGGGCAACAGGCGGGGCAGATAAGGTACAGGCCAGAGGCAACACCTTGAGACAGATTTTAGTAGCAGTGTTGAGGTCGCCAGCCTGTGGTTGCCAATTGCCTTCACAAGTAGGGATGAAAAAAGCGGGTTCGGGAAATTCAATACCGTTTGATGTAGTTTTCATATTATGATATCGTTTCCAATTTTAGCAAAATATAAAAGTTGTCATTTTCAAACGATTTCACAACTGTTTTGTTAGGTTTAGTCCCACACCGGAAACTGATGGTGGGTTAGTAGAACATATAAGGTGGAGGCACTCCTCAGCATTAGGCTGCCTTTTTGGTTGAGTTAGGCCAGAGAACTTGGTTTGTTGTGAGCTCTAGTGGACCTAGGACACCGACTCGTAGGTATAGCAAGCTAGACCGGATCCACTAGCACTAACAAGAGGTATCAAAGCTAGCTCATGGTCAGGAAACACCTCAGGGCCACATGGTGACGGGGCTATCTTTTGGGTTCAGTTAGGCCTGAGGCTGAAAGATTACAAGTATACATGGGAGATTAGCCTCAAGTCCTAGTACAATTCAGCATCCAAGAAAGGCCTTGGTTTGTTGTGGACTACGGTGGACCTGGGTTTGGTAGGGCGCCCCCTCGTGGATATGGAGTTTTTTACTGTTTTCTTATTTGTTCATTCCACAAATATGGGAAATTCGAAACCGACTGTTTTCATTTTCCATATTGTAATACCGTTCCATATCGTTATCATCCTTATCCACAAGCATCACTGGGGATTGGAGGAAGAGAGCGCTGTAGGCAACGGGTATGAGATGGAAAAGGAAGACGGCGAGATTGACTGAAAACATGACTGTGTGATATATTTCTAACCGTTGTACCTCTCATTGGTATTAAAGTGTACTAGATCAGTTTGGTGCTGTATTTCTATAGCCATAATCTTTCACTGTCATGGGACCATTTTTTCCCCTTTTTTTCAATTAGAGATAGGTCAACAAAAGAGCTCCTTGACTGACCTTATGATAGAGCGAGCATCTGCAGCAAGATACAGGAACCTTGACTCTAATTTTGAGATGAAATGATCTCTCTCCTCGATATCATCCAAAACAACAACACCATCTGAGTTCGGTCTTCTTGCAATTGACTTTAGCAATGGACTAAAATAGCTGTGAACAAAGGAAATACAAAAGGAACATTAATTTCGAGAAGGTGAACAGAGGAACAGTATGATATGAAGAGCTAGCACCATACTAACATTCTATGGTACTCTCCATGTAGAAAAATCAGGTAGGTGAGTAGGTCCAATTAAATAAGTGAGCAAATTAAAGACCGAATCAAGAAAAAGGAAACAAGGACAAGCCAACTGTTTTCCAAATTCTTAATATCAGACCAATAAGCAGAAGAACACAAAAGAGAAGGAGAAAGAGATTTACCTTTTAACATAAAAACAATACTAAGTCCTTTGTGGCCACTATCTTGCATAAACTTCCAGTCCCCATCATCTTTGTCTCATAGATTATACATTACAATGCATATACATTTTTATTCTACAAAGGTGTAGCAACTGAAGTTACCACTTATGCATTCCTGTTGCGTATGCAGTTAGTCCATCCAATTCTAAATCTAAATGTAGGTCATTTCTGCCTTCGCAACTTTTCTTTCAGTGTAAGTCATCCTAGAATTTCTTTGAATATTTTACCCTTTTCTTCCATCCTTAACCCTGCTTAATAAATATAAACACTACCATTTATAAATGAGTGATCTGCTCAATATGGTACAAATGAGGCTAGCATTTGATCTATTTTGACGCAAAGACCAAAATTTTGAGTGTCAACAATCTATTTTCTTAATCTTATTACACAGGTCTAAAACGGCCAGCATTTGAAATCGGAGTTAGTAGCAGAGCTGGAATCACACTTGCCACATATGTTGTATTTAATCAAGCATCTTTGTCACTATTACTGAACTTTGAGACATGGAAGTTACTATTAGCTAGCACCAAATACAAACTGCAATAGGCACTGAATCTGGCACAATGGCACCGCTACCCAAAGATTGCATTAGAGTAATCAAACAAAACACAGTATCAATCTGCACTTGCTTGCTGCATACATACCCAGTCACTTACTTCAGATGCACACCATTATAAGAATCCCAGATTAACTCATCCAGTTTTGTCTTAAGAACCCAATACTATCATCCAAACCATCTGATGAACTCATATCAGAGCTAAATAGGCAAAACAGCTTGAGCGAAAATCAGGAAGCACTCAAACCTGGTGCCGTAGAGGATCTCCTCCACCTCCATCAGCTCCTCGTCGGTAGCGAGCTCGAGCACCAGCCTCAGCTCCGGGTCAGACATGCCTTCAGAAATCAGAGACACACAATTATAACATCATCCAGTCAACTTTGCAACAAAGCACAAATTCATACGCGCCTAATACCTTCCGCCGCTGCCGCGGTTGGGGGCGAGGCTGCCGCGCTGGGAGGGAGAAGAGACCTAAGGCGGGAATGGACCCTGCAAGCTACGCCGGGACGAGGACTGGCCGCGACAGCGGGACCGCGGCGGCCGGCACTGGAACAGGAGGTTTGGGTGGAACGCCGAGTGGGTAAGCGGGCAAGTGAGGAGCGGGTGGTGAGGGTGGTGAGGAACGGGAGGGGTTTTGGTGCTACGATGGCGGCCATTGGGCGCGGCAACGATCGCCGCTCGCCGGTGTAGGGTGCCGCGGACGCGGAGCCCAGACCCGCGAGGCCGCGACGAGATTTTGTGGAGCGCCGTGACCGTGATTCCGTGAACGAGATACGGCATACGGGCAGACCGCAATACCGCATAGGGCAGTACAGGGCGTGGAAATGTGTGGCCAGTTGGCCACAGCAGCAATTTTCAGTTCTTGTCGCTGAAACGGCTGTTTGAAAAGCTTGTTCAACTTTCACTTTCTAACGTCTTGGTTAAACTCACTTTTTAAATTGTTATTTAAAGACCAATTTATATAAAAATTATTTTCTATATCATTTCATCTTTCAATAGTTTCTTTATACCTCGGACAACTATATATATATATATATATATATATATATATATATATATATATGGGCATGCAGCCCATGGCCTGACGGCCGGCAAGAAGCCCGCATTTTTCCCGGCATCAGCACGGCCCGGCACGGTGGCGAGCGGGCCTGGGCTAGCATGGCCCGAAACAGCAGGCCGTGCCTGGGCCTTGCCCCAGGCACGATGTGCCGGCACGATACTGCCCGATCCATTGCGCACGCCCCGATGGCGGCCCAGTCTGCTAAGAGCCCCACGCCTCAACCCCCCCTAACTCTAAAGTCCTACTAAACTTTCTTCTCCTCCATCCGCGCACGCGCAGCCCTCTCCCCACGTTGCATTCGCTCCTCTCACCTCTGCGTCGCGATGCCCCATCCCCTTCCCTCGCGTCGGGCGAGGCCGCGAGGCAAGTGCGGACGCGGGACGCCTCCTCCCCTTTCCTAGCTGACGCAGCACAGCAGCCAAGCGTCTCCTCCCTCTCCTCGCACGACCTCCTCGCTCGCAGCGATGACGGCGGACGGCGACGCCCCCTCCATCTTGTCGAGCGACACCGCTGGGAACCGGCATTGGTCGTCGCGGGAGCGAGCGCGCCAACCCCGAGCTTCACCCCAACGCCAAATCCGGTGTCAAGGGCCTCAAGGGCAAGCTCGCGACAGCCACCGCCATCTCCGGTTGCTTGCACTTCCTCCCCTTCCTCCTCTCTCTGGCTGCTCGCACTTCCTCGTGGGCCCCAGGCTAGCCCGGCACGGTGGACTGCCAGTGCTTCTCGGGCCGATCCGGCCCGAAAAACGGCCAACAGGCCATGCCTGGGCCGCCGGTCAGGCATGACGCCCGGCTCGGCACGGTCCGGGTAGCACGGCGTGCCGTGCCGGCCTAACCCCCTTTGAGTCGTGTCGGGCCGGGCCCGACCGGCCCGTTGCCTATCTATAACTCTAGAGAGTCAATCTTAGTCTTTATTTTTTAACTAGCGAGAGACCAAAATAGATGATATCAACATTTGGAGATCTAATTAAAATAAGTTGTTGTAGAGTATTTTTTAACCAAAATCTCTTTCTATCAATAAGGAACCATATAAAGAAGCTCTTGGGAGTTGCTCGGGCCCGGTTTGAATTCGTTGTTAATTGCTAATAGTTAGTTAGCTAATAGATCATGGCTAATTTTAGCTAGCTAAGTATTAGCTCCTAACAAGTGAGATCAGCTAATAATTAGCTAGATCAGACCGGTTTGAATCGAAAAGAACTCACTATTAGCAGGTAACTATTAACTCTATGGATCAAACATACCTAATTTTGGATAACATTCAACGAAATATATAGTTTTGAGTTAAACTACTTTTAAAATAAATACTACAATGGTTAAAGGTCCATTTGCTAACAAACTTGGTATAAGTGAGTTAAATTTATAGGCTTCCTACATTTGCCCATTTTTACTGCTTTTTATTTAGAGTATTTTGACTATTTTCTATTAAAAATGTGTTCAAAATGTGTTTACGATATCTAATAAAGCGCATGGAATTGTGAACTTACTTTTAAAGACAATTTTACTCGTAATTTCTATGTTTCTAAACTTAAATTCTAGTAAAAGCTATTGACTATTGAGGTTTCAAAAGTTTGATAAAATTTTAGGGTGCATTTCTTAGGGATTTGGATTCTGATAGAAATATTTTGGATCTAGATTCTCTCTAGAAACGCCAGATAATGAATTGGAATCACTTTATAAAATCGTTTAGCTAGTAGACTAGATTCTAATTGATTAGAAAAGATATTTTTCAAGTCATATAAATAAAAATATATTTCAAAAAACAAGCTTTTTGTGGTTCAGAAGCAACTTAAACACAACACATTTTAACTTGTTGAACTAAAAAATAGAATGCAACTAAAAGTTACAATTACTAGCACATAAAGAAAGCAAAAGAAACGGAAGAGAATAACTGTGAAACCACTCTTCAACCTGTTTCACGTTCACAGGTAGGAAACCAGAAACATTTCTAGGTTGAATCATTTCGTGGTTTTACCATTTGGCACTGATTCATGCCGACCTTGATGGAGGACTCGGGGAACGTCAATACTTATCCTTGGATAATCATGACATACAAGCAAAAGGTATGTTTAGTTATATATTTTATGACTCAATTATGTGTTTATTGATTCATAACTACAGCTAACTATGATGTGTTCTCTGCCAGATCCTATTGTGGAGGACATATTTATGCTCTAATTTCAAGGATGCTAGATCCAGGGGGGGATATTAAAGAACCAATTATGGACATGTGCAAGAGCTAGTACATAATAAGTGACGATGGAGGCATGGATCGAGCATCCGGCTAGTGTGATCAGCGTATCACGGTAATACATAGGACACGGTTATATACTAGTTCGGACATAGGTACCCTACATCTAGTTGAATAGAAACCGTGTGTTGTCCACTAGGAGTGTGGTGCCGATGATGGTGGAGAATCGATCCTGCCGATCAGGTGTTAGAACCAAAACCCGCAACTTTTAGACCCGATGGGGTAGGGGGGTTGTTTTTGCCCCCACAGGTCTAGGGCTCGAGTCAATCTGGGCACAAAAAAATCGAGAACCGAGAACCAAACCGAACCGAACTAACCGGAACCGAAACCGAAATATTCGGTCCCAGGTTCGGTTCCAGGTTCCCAGGAACCGAAATTATTACGGTTAATTCGGTTCTAGCACTCGGTTAACCGAATTGACCTGAAATAACCGAACTATGTAAAGGCCCCTAGAATACAGCCCAACCCAAACAGAGGTAAACCCTAAGCATCGATATCACTCCGTCACTCTCCTCGTCCTCACCACCCCCACCGCGCCGATTCGCCGTCCACCCCGCGGCGCACGGCCCCGGTGCTCCCGACACCGAGTTCGAGACCCCTCCCCTCCGGTCTCCGGCCCTCCCCTCCCCTCCTCGACCCCGACAGGCCGACATGGCCAGCCCCCAGCCGGCTAGGCGTAGGCGGCCAGCAGTCCAACACTGGCGCAGGAGGCAGGACGCACCCTGCACCCACCCGGCCGCCGGCCCTAAGCCGCCGTCGCCGGCCGCCACTTCTTGTGATCTACTCCACAATGGCTACATCAATTGCGTCCTGCAATGTAAGTGTTAAAGATCTGACTGTATTTGTGACTAATTTGTTGTGGGGATTTGTAGTTGATAACTTGACTGCATTTCTTCAGATGTCTGACAAGGACATGGACCAAGACATGAGGGATTGGGAAGAGACCTATGGCGGGAGTGATGGGAATTTCAAGGATGATAGTGATGCAGAAAAGGATGGTGCTACTACTGGGGCTGATGGTGATGCAGAGAAGGATGGTGCTGCTACTGGGGCTGATGGTGATGCAGAGAAGGAGAAGGAGGTCATTGATGTAGAAGCTGAGGAGGAAAAGAAGAGAAAGCCGATGGCATCCAGATCTAGCATGTGGGATCAATAGTTCTCCAAGTGATGTGCAGCCCCAACCAAGTGAATCACCCCCATCTAAGCAAGGTGGAGAGGGTGCTAGAAAGTTGAAGACTAAGCTGACAAAGAAGATTAAGCTGAACAATGGAACAAGCAGTTGCAGCAGGGGCAGCAGGACTGAACTGGATAGGTACTTGGTTGTAGAGTGTGAAGAAGATACCAAAAAGTTTGTTATTCTTGCTTGGTGGAAGGGGCAATCCACTAGATTTCCCATATTGTCTACATTGCCCCGTAGTGTGCTCGCCATTCCAATATCCACAGTTACTAGTGAATCGGCCTTTAACACAGGTGGACGTATTCTAGATGATTTTAGGAGTTCACTCACTCCATTTATGGTTGAAGCTCTTGTTTGCACTCAAGATTGGCTTAGAAGAGCAACTCCCATCAGCTTAGTAGAGAATACAGAAGAATTGACCAAACTAGAAGATGACCATTTATTGTACCATTTCTTTACTGTTTTCAACAATGAAAAAAATATTTAATGTTTTCTTTGTTTGTTGTTTTCTATTTTCAGTATTTATTCAAGAATTCAAGGACAAGGCCATTGTTGATGCCCATGCTGCCGAGTCACAAATCCAAGGCAGCAAAAAGAAGATGGTTACATCCACCACCATCAGCTCATCACAGCCAAGCAAGTCCTCCAATCCAAGCAAATCCTTAAAGAAAAGCAAGAACAAGAAATAATCTAAAGATAAATGACCATGTGAGCTATATATATCTTTCTTGTAGTCATATACTCATCATAAATATATTTTTTCCTTATTTGTTTCAGTTTGCAAATATTGTTTCAGGCTAGCTAAGGAAGTAAGGAGTGGGCGAGTGGCTGTGGACTTGTGGAGTGTGGACTGGTTCCTGTGAAGGTGCAGCCGTACAGGGCTGCAGGCTGGTGGACTTATTGTTTCACTTGTGCTGTTGGACCTCTTGTTTTTTCATTGCTCTGTATGCTTGAATATGTGTGTGTGTGGTGCTGGACGCCTGGAGCATTGCTATGTTGTTGGACCTCTTGTTTTTTTACTGCAGGCTTGAATATTGCTCTATGCTTGAATATTTGAGAGAACAATAACATATATGTGTTGTACTGTTATTTTATGCTGCATTGCTGTTTAAATTGTCCCTTTTGACTGCATGGAAATCAGGGCAAATGTTGCCGAAATTTGCAATTGAATG